TATCTTTGACGGTAAAAATTATTAAATTAACTCCGTATTTTTTTAGTCATGTGGCGGTTTCGAGCTTATTATTCTGTATAGGCATCTTTTTTATTACAAAAGACTGTATGTTGACTCTTAATGTTTTGATTTGTCTGTGTTGTTGGGTTGCTGTCGCATTAATGTATACCTTTATCTCCTTTTATTCAAAACCAAAGGATTGACTTGGGTATAGAAAAATTGACATCTCTGGACTTCTCCCCGTCCGACAGTATACCCTTGCTAAAGGGGTGCGTCCGTTTGGCTGTTCGGATGTATAAATACGCAGCTTCGTCCGGTCGGAATAGAAATGGCGTATATCCGATGCCTGGTGTAGTAAGAGTTTCACGCAATCTTTACGTTAAAGATAAATAAGAAGATGTGGTATGAGTGCCAATGAGACAACTCTCCATCCAAGTCACAGTTATAAAAAGTAAACAAATGTAGGTCAAAGAACGGCCTTCAACACTCCATGCTACTAAAAAGGTAAAGATCATAGGTTCTGAAACAACGAAATTTGTAGAGAAAAAAAACTTGAATCGATATGTATTCACATACAATAAAAGGATTAAGAGAAAGATCTCCGTTAATTTTAACTGCACTTTATCTACGGTTAATAGATATAAGAAGATATGGTATGAATGCCAAAGAGACAACTCTCCATCCAAGTCACAATTTGTAAAAGTAAACCATTATAGGTCAAAGTACGGCCTTCAACACGGAGCCTTGGCTCACACCGAACAGCAAGCTATAAAGGGCCCCAAAATGACTACTGTTAAACCATTCAAACAGGAAAACCAACGGTCTAATCTATATAAAAAACGAGAAACGAGAAACACTTATGAACCACACCAACAAACGACAACCACTGAACAACAGGCTGAGGACAGAACCATTTGAATAATTCTTTGATGAGGGAAATACGATCTACGCACAAGTTAAATGATTGAAATCTTTAAAAAAAAAACAACAAAGGTCAGCTAAATTAAGTCGCATGGCTGATTTTAACACATTTTTTTGCGCCTTTTGCAAGGACAATCGTAGATGAAAAAAAATTTAAATAACAAAACCTATCAGTAAGACAATATCTAAAGAATAAATAAAACGGCCAAAATAAGTTGAATCCTTATATGAATTGTAGCCAACATTTTTTAAACAAGCTTTTACGACAACTATACCAGATATAAAAAAAAACTTGACAAACCAAATTTTGTCACTTAGACAAGACTGCCGTCGTTGTACACTACAATATTATAAAGACATATTGCCGCTCAATGAAGAATTTTTTCTGTTCTTCTCCCCTCCTCCTAGTTTGGCTGGATAGGATACAATGTAACCCCTGATGTGGACTACGTTATTTAATGTTAAAAAAAATTAAATGCAAAGAGAAAAATGACGAAAGAAATGCTAAAATTTACGCTTAAAAAATCAAATATAAATAAAAATCAAATGTATAAGAATTGGAAAACTGTTTGAGACAATCATCAACCGAAGACTAATGATTATACATCACTAAATGAAGCTGATTGCTCCCTTAATGTCCAGTGGCAAATATGTCATACATATTCACGACGATATGCCAAGTGGATCGACCTGAAGCAAATGATAACAGTTTTAGAGTGACACTTTAATAAGATAGAGCGTTGGCTAGAGGTAAAACGTATCCCTCCTTTCTTTTTTCTCCACGGTAGACAAATGTCAAAAACAAAACGCCATGAATTTACAATCAATAACGGCCACTATAAGTAAATGAGATCTGGACATATTTTGTAAATAAATTCCTATTGCAGCCAACAAGAGATATTAAATCAACCAAAAGCACTTTTATTCTCTGAAATTGTAAATTATGGTATTTCGCTGGATGTTTTTTCCCGATCCTATTTTGGACCCCCTGATTCTAAGAGGGCGTGTCTAATTAGTCATGCCCGGTTAACTTTTAGTAAATTGAACCTCAACTGAAAGACCTACACCGGGTTAATAAGTTCGAGGTACAATAAGTAAACAAAAGAGATCCTTTATGAAATGAGATCGTCCCAGGTATCTTAGATAATTATTTTGCGTTGAATAACAATGTAAAATGCGCGAACAGGTTTGTAAGAGTTTTTATTGTTAAAGTAGTATTATACACCTCAAACATGGGTTATTTTCACCATAACTTCTTATAAATATTTTTTTCTGTGTAAAACTCCAAAAGCAAACATTTCATGTTTACATATGAATCTTTTTTTGGAGTGACCTGCCGGTTATTTTACATTGCTATTTTGTTCGAAGTGACCTGGACTATTTTTATTCGTTACTAAAACTGGAAGTTATCAAAGATGGCAAAAACTCAGGCATCTTTGCTAGCCAAGGGTTACGATCCAGTCCCCTCCTCTCCACCCTTGGCAGATTAATCCAACATTTGTGATTACAATGTTGTGCCAGCTACCGGCAGACAAAAGTCACGCCCATTCTGACTACATCATACTTGACCAATGGCAGCATTTGAACTCTTCAGTGTGGAGGTGTAAAATGGTTGCGTCTAGTGTTTACAAATTTCGTGAAGCTGGAACCGAAAATATACGTTGATATTCCAACATTTACGCGAGAAATATATCCAGGAACTTCAATTAGTTCATTAAGAACTTTAAAGGTGTCACTAGATATCTCCCTATGTTTTGGGGGTTTAGACTTGTTACACAATCAGCACGTGGTAATTATTTATTTACATTTTCTACATTTACACGTGATCATCTTAAAGGCGCTTTTTGATTGGATGCAACCAGTTACAGCTGCAACCAATGAAAATCGTTACCTCGTGGATCCGAAATTCTATCTTAATCAAGCAAGGGTGAAGAGGAGGGGACTGGATCGTAATGCTTGGCTTCAGAAGATGAAAGTCAGGTCAATAAACATAAATATATAATATTGGCCTGGTGAGACCCTCTGTAGTTATATAGCCAAATAAGAGTTATATTTTAAATAATAAGTGTACATATGATATCTAAGTTTATATTTGAACATTTGCATCTGCCAATCATTCATCTACATTTAACATACATGCTACTTTACTTGATTAATATATGTTAAATTGTACAAGTGATATGATCAGGAGTCAGCAAATCACATTAGCTCTGAACCAAATGTTCATATAGAAGTAAACTGCAAAAGTTTACCTGAGCCAGATGGCAGTAACACACCCTATTTCTTCTGATATCAAACAATGAAAATTTCTCAATTCCTAATTGTGGTTTTGCCTTCGAACTGACAGGTTGCCATTGTAAACCTTTGCTATTCCTACATGAAAAGAAAGAAAAAACCATAAGCATCAATTGCATGACAAATGCATGTACTACATAAAAATAGAATTGAGAATGGAAACGGGGAATGTGTCAAAGAGACAATAACCTGACCAAAGAACAGAAAACAGCCCAAGGCCACCAATGGGTCTTCAACACATATATTGTACATGACATATGTATGTCAGAAATCATTTATAACAAATATTTATTTTTTTGTCATTTGAGGTGCATAGTATATATCGTATCAACTGCATCCACAAGAAGTTCTAGTAAACATACCTGGAAAATATTTATTATTTTTATTAGATAAAAATTTTAATATAACTTTTGAGGATTATCATTGGAGAAATGGTTGCTTGTTTGAACCATTGGTATCGAATGTTGTATCTAACCGATTTAAATGGCACAAGTAACCTGTTATCAGTCATCTTATCTATTGAAATTAGTGATGTGTAAATGCTAAATTTACCTGTGAAATAGACAACCTGTGAGGGTCTCATAATTTCCAAATATCCGAGCTCGTAGAACAACCAGTTCTTCACTTTGGATTAACTGGGTCAATTTGCAGGCTGATAAATGGGATAATATGGATTTAATACAGCTCCCCAAAGTTACAAAGTCCTTCTTAAATTTTGTGTAATTTCCACCGTCTTATCAAAAAAGGCACAAAAAGTTTCATACTTAATGTAGATTTTTTTTTCCAGGGGAAGTAACTTTTATGACTTATAGCAACAAAAACTACTAGTTCTCAGTACAGCATTCCTATTTACTATCAAATTTGCTCGTTAAAATATTTTGTATTTAAAGATTTCAAATAAATAAATCTATACTTTTCAAAATCTTGATCATCTTGTTTTACTATATATTCTTTGTAATTACATTTCACATATTTCAAAAAATATATCTGTCTATCTTTAATTTATCAGATTGGAGTCACTTTTTTATACAGAACATCTAAGATGAACATCATGGAGTTTGAATTCAAACGAAGCCGGCGAAGATCGAGCTTCCAGGGGAAGAGACGTTTGCAAGATTCATTAATTACAAATGCGCAATACGAGTTCCGTTCACCATCTACGCGGACTTTGAATGTTTTGTGGAGAAGATTTCTCCATTGTGTTAGCTCAACCCATCAAAGGTTTACAATATAAACATCACACACCATCGAGTTTTTGCTAATACGTGAATTCACACGTTGAAACTACAAATCACCAGTCATTTACCAAGAAACCGGTGTGGCTAAGGAATCGTTAAGCGTATGGAGAATGAAGTAGATGCCGCCACAAAGATGTACCCAAGAGTGCTGTAAAAGGAAAAGGGGAAAGATCACGATTATCTCACGGGAGAATTTTCGGGGCTGCACAAAACGAGTGTAACTTAGTATATTGACTCCCGAGGTTTGTTAAAATCGTATTTTACAATTTTAGTGGGTAGGACGCGCATCTCTTTGTCAAAGAATCACAATCCTTAAACAGTTCCAATGTCAATATACAAATCAACATTGAGACCCAGGATCTGTATACCCATCCATCTGAGAGTTGTCTTTCGGTTAAAGGACTTCTGAGGAGCCGGCACAGCTTATGCATCTGTAGATCTGGTGACACATGTGAACACTCATTGTAACCATGTACCTTTCTATCCAAAACAACTTTTGATATGTATATAACCAAGCTTCAATAACTAATAATTTATTATTTTTAGATCAAGAGAAGAATAGTGATGGTTTAGTTCCAATTGTTGGTGGTGGAATAGGAGCAATTGTTGTTTTTGTTGCTGTATTCATCATTTGTATTGTGCTCCGACGGTAAAGCATTTAGTTATATAAGTACATTGTGTTTTGAATAACTCAGATTAATGCAATAATAATGTGAATTTTCTTCAGAATATTTGGCCCCAATCTGTAATTCTATCATTTGAGTTTTTAGACATACAACAAGAAAAAAGAAGTTATTCAATGAATTTTCAACGCATATATATTCATTTAGCTATATTCATCATTCTACGTTTGTTGATTTTACCTGTAATTCGATGTTGTAAAACAAGTATTTTTTATGTCACAAAGAAGACGAAATTCACATCAGAAAGACACAGAAGGAAGGAAAGTGAACACAAAACTTATAATGGCTGAGCAGACCGTTCAGTATAGACCAGGTACAAATTAGTCCCACTAAAATAGTTTGAAATTCAAATAAATGTATCTATGATACTATTTGAATTTTGACATTATGATAATTTATTTTCGATTACATTAAGTCAGAATACATATGATATAAATAAAGGCAACAGTAGTATACCGCTGTTCAATGGTTATAACTCGATTAAGTGAAAACAAATCCTGGGCACAAACCAAAACCGAGGGAAACACATCAGCTATAAGAGGAAAACAACGGAACAACAATATAAACGACTAATTAAGGGTACTGTTGTCATCCATAAAATGTGAAACTGAACGTTATAACAAAACGACAATGTTTTGCAATCGAATATCACTGTGTCTTTTACTCTAGCCAGACTTCCAAATGTTAGGTATTTATTAACTATCATACTGAAACCACGAAGACCATAGACGTGACAATAATGATTGGTTGTTCTTAACATTTGGATGTACTATCGTTTATTAATCTGAAAATTATTTTTGTTTTGTTTTTTGTTTTTTTGGTCCAAGGATATCAGATTTAGGAAATAAATCTCCACGTCTTGTCAACTATCCAGATGCTCTTGAAAGATGACGAAGGGGTGCTTCATAACTAGTTGTTACAGATGGCAGTGTTATGTTGCCTTGTACAGGCATATGTTTCAATAAACTATAAGTTTATTATTTTTTTTCAATATGGCAACCCACTTCCATATAAATACAAACACATCATATAACCATCACTTTTATAATATGTTTCCCCCTTCCAATTGCAATAAAGGTCATACAGAGGTCTGTGGTTGATAACATTTTATTTGTTACAGTAATTATTTCAATTCTGGAAATTTCAAATTTACATGCAAGTTATCATCTTCTGCTTGTGAAATAAGTTTGCCCTTTTGGTTTTTCTCATGCTTTAAAAACTGAATTTATGTATGGCATCTTTGCAAAAACAAAATTATAAGGGAATATGTACATGAATATATAGGACGGGTTTCATCTACAGATATGGGTAGGGATGAAGCTTCAACTTCAATTATGATGACATCGAATCCACCAGCAGATGGAGAGCGTAACGACAAGAACATGGACCATGGCAGTATAAAAGTCAATGAGCTGAAGGATTATATTTACAAAAGACAACTGAATGAAGTGTTAGAAGATGAATATAAGGTAAGGAGTAGTTTGATTAAATGCTTCATGATCGAAATTTGATGTATCTTTATACATTTATTTGCATATTACTTGTTCTAATATGACAAATACATTGCTGTATCGGTTGTGCTAATTAAACGCCTTTCAATTTGTGGAAAATTACTGACTATGACTGAATGTATCAAGGTGGATTTTTATCATGATTACTATAAAAACTAATGTTTACTCATATAGAAAATAAAACATCTTTTTTATTCATGAAAATACAGTCAATTAAGACTTGATCAGACCACAATAACCGTTTCAGACCGAAATCTTGCTTCTTGTGTTATCAGAATACATTTTGCATATCATTTAAGTTCCTTTTTTTTCTAAAATTCCATCTTGTATGCTTGTTTAACCCTTTTAATATCAACACCTTAGAAAATACCATATGGAGATCTACACCCAACTACAAAGGCTCACCAAAAAGAAAATCTTCAAAAGAACAGATTTAAAACAACATTTCCATGTAAGTATTTGTGAGATCTTCAAAGATTTTTAAGCTTGTAAATCTCTCTTTTGGTATGCGTAAGTTTAAATGAACTCATATGTCCAAATTTTTATATCTTACAAAAGCATGGATATCGTAATATAGACGATTTTGAAACGTCCATGTGGATATTTTTTGAATAATAAAAAATATGATAACAGCAATAACATGGTATTTGTACAGTCACGACTATACTGCAGTAAACATGATTCTCTTGTAGACGACCATACACGGGTTGTGTTGGAACCAGGTCATGAAACGTCTTCAGATTATATAAATGCTAACTATGTAGATGTAAGTAAACATGTATCATTTTATAATCATGTGCGCAATAAGTATTAGGTAAAATAAAATATCTGTCTGAAATGTAATCATGTGATATAGAATTGAATAATGTGTGTATGCCCCGCCGTAGGAAACGAGCATTCAGTGTTACCCTTGACAGTCCTTCCGTTCGTCCGTCCGTTTGTCAAAATTTTCGTTTCCGCACTTTAACTTAAGTTTGCTTCATCCAAATTTTATGAACCTCATACACAATGCTAAGAGCTAAAGACGCAGACACAGTTCGAATTTAAGTTGTGAGTCATTTATCATTCTGGAATATGCCAACTTATAACTTGGAAAATTGCAAAGCTTGTGCCGGCGCATTCGTGTCCTCATACACATTCTTGTTTATGTTTTCGAAATAAAAGAAAGCAACCTTCACATTTTGCATGAAGCGCGTAATTTTGAAAAAAAACAATTCTTATGATTACAGATCTTAAAAATGAAATATTAATGTTTTTAATTTGCTCAGTAAAACTTTAAACAATGAAAGTGTACAGTGGTATTAAAGCAGCACCACGTGACATCAATTCAGACAATTGTTTTTATCATATAGTCGGAACTTGCACAATGAAGATGTTGATTTCAAAGAAGAAAGCTCAAAACATTTCGTTTATACATGGGGAATTCAACCAGTTGTTTCAAATTTATATTTACGATTCATATTTTCGATATAACATGTCAACTACTTTTTAGATAAAAAACCAAAATTTTCTAATTTCAAACGTAAGTACACAAAAAATAAGTGAAAATACTGCTGATTAATGAAATGGACGAAACCAATAATTCTATTTTTGGGTGGCTTTTACATAATTAAAAAAAAACATTTCACGGAATGAAATTATTTATCTTGCAGCCACAATCATAGCATCTGTATGAATACAACACGTTGAAGGACAAAATACAAAAGGCCGAAACAGAACATAAAAAACGTCTAAGGTCAAATGTAAGTAAAACATTTAAAATCTATAATTAGCTTTAACATAATAGCAATATATTATGATGGAATTGAAAACGATGTACAAATGTATTTATCAAATCAATCAAATACCGAAACACTTGCTACTGGGGAGATATAACCTTCGGGAACCTATACTCTGTGACAAGCAGTACCGTCCAAGTACTAGTAAAAACCATAAATGATTCCCTTGCGTACAAAACATGTCCATTAGATACGCTTGAGAAAAAGTTTAAAGAGCATAAAATGTAAATTTTGAATAGTAGAAAACAGAAATAGCATAAACGAAGCCACCCAAACGCCGTAAATCAAAATTAAACAAGCAGATAAATAATCCGCGATCATGAGCTCATCTCAAACGCAACATGTATTCAGACCTAAAAACAGAACAGTGAGCAAAATAATGTTGTTTTTCTTGTTTCAAACTGTTATATAGCAAACTTTCGTTAAAGGTAATTAACTGCTAATTTCATTACCTTCAAATTGACTCAAAATTGTTTAATAAGTTTTATAACATACTAAAATATATACGTGATTTACAAAATGTTCCTTAGTGAACAATAAGCAATATGCAATGCATAAAATCGTAATAATGCATCAGTATTTCGTGCTTATTTTAGGAATACATACCATCTAATTAACCATCGAGATGAACTCCAGATGAACTCCGAATACTGTCATGTGATCCGTTATTCACATAAATAGTAATATGAATGTGAATAAGAATTAACAGACCGTCGTTTTCAATAATAATGACGATTTCTTAGGTCTTTTGGAATTCATGACATAGATGAAAAAATCATGGTCTTGTTTTATCAGAATAATTTGTTGCGGTCCTTCCTGGTGGCTACGTTGTTTTACTTTTCAATTTTGACATTCTTTTTTTCAATAACTTAACATGCTGCGCATATGCACAACTCATCTGCAGTTTAGGGTCAATTTAAAGGTTGCATGCATACGGATCCAAAGGAGGTCAGAATTATTTCCAATCATAGAATATACTATATCAGCGATGTTTGTTAGCTTCATCGTTACATACTTGGACCAAATTCTATGTTTATAACGAATTATTATTTCTTTTCGCTTTTATTGATAATTGAAACAATAAAGTAATGATGTTGTTTTATGAATCGTAACTAACGTCCGTTTCATTTATGCTATGCTATCACAGCGTCATCCCACCATCTACGAATGGCTTTCGGGATATTTTTACTCTTTAAAACATATATATTGGTAATAATATATAAGTTATCAGGATATCTGAAGGGAATGTTTTGGTAAAATTTATTTGAATATGCTCATCAAATAGAGCTTTTAAAAAAACAAAATCCTTAAGGGACCGGTCATTATTTATCTCAAGGGCGAGGGCGGCGGCAAAATGTAAACTTGAAATGATAAAAAATGATTGACCCCTCCTTTTCAACATGTGTTAAAAAATTTAATCCCCCCTCTATCAACTACATAAAAACTTTTGACCCCCCCCCTCTCTCTCTCTTCTGATTATAATTGAAAGGTTTCAAATGATTCAATTATTATATGTTGCTAATATTCCTAGTAAGGTATTTTAATACACATACACAGAGAATGCATTGAGGACGACATCCGATAGAAGAATACACTGATGTAAGGGACCGTTCAATATTTACCAGATGGATGGGCCGGTGCATTCTTAATATTATTTCATTAAAAAAGTTAATGTCCATCCTTTTAAATTCTGCAAAAAAGTCCTTGCCCATCTAAAAAAAACTATAAAAAGAGTCCTTGCCCCTCTAAAACTTAAAGACAATCAAAAATGATTTAGGTTCTTTTTCTATTTTAATATTTGCATGTTAATGTCTGGAAATCAAAGAATAGACTTTGGTGTATAAATACAAAATTCAAAATGTGCTAGTTAATTCCACATATATATATATTGTATCAGAAACATACATTTTATTAATTTTAAAACCAGTATGAATATACATGTATAGATTTGATTTTATATGTGCAGCCTCAGATATATACAATATCACAATTAAATTTCAAGACATAAGTAATAGCATACTATATCATCCAGCCTTTCATAGAGGCTTAAGAAGTGCTAACAATATTCATGCAAGTCATAAAACATATGAAGAAATATTAACCATACTATTAAATGTACTTAGAATATATTTTTCTGAAATCTGAGGTCATCTTAAATTTAAAACAGTTTAATGTATCTCTTCTTTCGTCTTTGTTCTATTAAATAATTGAGGGTCATCACTTTTTTCCCCTTTTGTGACCATAGGACATAAAGATTAATTCAAACTATTGTTAACAATCAAACAAATATTAACTAACTATCCAATTTGTATACAATTTTCAAAATACCATATTAATCTAAAATAAAGGGAAAAATTTAAATTAAGGGACAATAACTCTTAAGACTAGTAAACATATTACCATATGCTGAATTACCAATTATTGTCTTAATAATAGAGCATTCCTATATTTCAAATATACAATGTCCCTTTATCTATTCTCCTTTTCAAGAAAGAAATTATGGTCTTTTTAAAGCAATTTAGGCAGACATGTTTTTGACTTTGATGCAGCTTTTTTTACCTATTGATTAAATCCCAAAGGCAGATTTAGGAGGGGGTAGGGGGCCAAGGCCCCCCTTTTTGTGGGAAAAATTTAGTTGCTTATATAGGAAATCACTGAAGCATGACTGGAGCGGGCCCCCTCTTAGGCAGTCAGTGAACTCCCTAAATTTGTCAGCAATACATGTACAGCAAACTACCAAACAACCTGGCATTCTGTACGATCATTATATAAATGAGATAACTGTAGAGTTTTATGAAAATCAAAGTTGATTTGGAAACGTTACACCAATTTTTAAAGATGACTATCTGAATTTAGTCTAAACTGAAAATTGTAGTTTCTTTTACCTTTTAACTAAATCCATATTAATGACAACAATAAACCAAAGTACCAAACAACCTGGTAATCTGTAAGATCAATATGTTAATGAGATAGTTGTAGAGCTATATATTAAAATCAAGTTGATTTGAAACTTTATATCAATTTTTAAAGTTGACTATCTGAATTTAGTCTAAATTGAACATTTAAGCTTTTTTTAACCTATTTTTTAAATCCATAAAAATGACAGCAATACACCAAAACTACCAAACAACCTGGCATTCTGTAAGATCAACATATAGATAAGATAGCTGTAGAGTTATATGAAAATCTAAGTTGATTTGAAAAAGTTATAAAAAAGTTTAAAGGTGACTATCTGAATTTAGCCTAAATTGAAAATTGTAGCTTTTTTAACCTATTAACTAAATCCATAAAAATGACAGCAATAAACCAAAGTACCAAACAACCTGGCATTCTGTAAGATCAATATGTTAATGAGATAGCTGTAGAGTTATATGAAAATCCAAGTTGATTTGAAAATGTTATAAATTTTTTTAAAGATGACTATCTGGTATTAACCTAAACTGAAAATTTAAGCTTTTCTTAACCTTTTTATTAAATCCATAAAAATGACAGCAATACACTAAACTCCCAAACAACCTGGCATTCTGTAAGATCAATATATGAATGAGATAGGTGTAGAGTTTTATGAAAATCCAAGTTGAATTGAAAAAGTTATAAAAAATTTAAAGGTGACTATCTGAATTTAGCCTAAACTGAAAATTTTAGATTTTTTTCTTACTTATTAATAAAATCCATAAATTTGACAGCAATACACCAAACTATCAAACAACCTGATATTCTATAAGGCCAAAATACAATTGATAAGAAAATCCAAGTGGTTTTGAAAATTTATATAAACTTTTAAAAGTGACTATCTGAAATTAGTCCGAATAGAAAATTCTAGCTTTTGTATTCTTTAATTAAATCCTTAAAATTGACAGAAATTAACCAAGCTACCAGTTTGTTGAGACCATGTCTTTTATGTTTTGTGTGCCTGCAAAAGAAATTTCTTACACACCGATAAAATTGATAGCAAAATTTTTCCTATAAAATAAGTTATGGACCATCCACTATACATGTAAAAAAAATCATTCATATATCTATTTATAGTGGAAATCTATATGAGGTATATTTAAGATATGGAATAAAAATAAAAATAAAATGCTTTGAAAATGTCTTTATAGAATATTTTTTTGTACACATAAAACAACAGTTTGTAAAATATATGAGTTCATCTTGAAAAATAAAAATGGTATCACCTTCAAAAAGCAAAGTCTACTTTTGCTGTGGTGAAGCCAGGATTATGAAACCAATTTTATAGTCTCTATTCCTAGTTTCTTAGTTCTATAACATCATGGCTAAGAAAAACATAAGAAATAAAGGCAACAGTAGTATACCGCTGTTCGAATTTCATAAATCAATTGAGAAAAAAACATATCCGTGTTACAAACTAAAACTGAGGGAAACACATGAAATATAAGAGGAGAACTACAACACAACAGAAACAAACATTGAAATGTAACACACACAAGAAAAACATAAGATAAGTGACTTATTTTGCAAATTTTTGGGTAATATTCATTTGTCACTTGACAGTAAAATTAGTCAAAGAGTAAAGTGACTAGCTCTAGGTAGATCACTGATAGTGACATTTGATATTTGTGAAAGAGTCAAACTAGGAGATAAATAATTACCAATCCCTAACTTTATGACAGCAAATTTCTACAAACAATATTTTACCCGCGGAGACGAATAGTTCTTGATTACCAGCTAAGTTATTGATTCATTAGTAGTTTAAACATTAACAGTACCAGTTTTACTACGCAAATGTGCATTATGAAAATGAATGGTTGCGCCGTGATGATCAGGGCCAAACGATTTGAAAAAAAAGTTATTCAAACTTGAAGCTGTTCCTTCGCTGTCCAATATTTAGGGGACGAGTGAGGATAAAGAACAGTTTTAACCCGGTTATATAACTTATATTCCTGTCTCAAGTTTGCAATTCCGTGGTTGTCGTTCGTTTCTGTGTGTCATATTTGTTTTTGTCCTAAATATCAGGCCATTGAATTTCTCGTTTGAATTGTTTTACATTTGAAGCCTTTTATAAAGTATTGTGCGGTATCAATTCAGCTCGCTCTCTTACATACGATAATTGTTTACCTCCACATTATTTAGACTTTTCATTGATAGTTATCTCATTTTTCATTATACAAAATCTCCTTATTTTCATCAAATATATTTTGTGGAAACTCTTTATATCAGAATCTTTTCATTTTAGGGTTTCGAAAAGGAAAGATGTTATATAGCATCTCAAGGTATGAAAGTTATAAGTCATGTTTCAATATATGCCAGGTTACGATAAAACAATACATGTACCAAATTCCGAGTCTACTGTTAAAAAAAAATCTATACCCGATATATTATCAGATACGCCGATGCCAATAGTGGGCAGCGCATCCAGCACTTTTATCAATTCATGAACGGTACCAGTTTTGAAATACCTAATGTATATTTAAAAAAAAAAATTTATATGTGCAATGATGCGATGGATCTGACTATAGAAGGCTACAGCACCCCGAAAATCTATAAAGAGCTACAAAATCGAAAAAAAAAAAAAATGTCATTTTAGCAAAGTTGTAAAAAAACGCCCAACAAATAAACGTCTACAGCTACACATGTGAATAGTATACCATGAATTTCCAACACAATATACCCTTATTCATTAACATAATTAAAATTAAGGCTCATTAACTTTTCTTCTAAATTTAGTTCATTTTGGCGATTTATATTTTTCATTTGTTACAGTAATATCAACCATCAAAGATTCTAAGATATTAGTTAGTCTATACGTATTATAGAACTTAAAGTTTTATTTTGGTAAGAAATGACATCATGTAGTCATAAAATGCGTTGCAATAACATTTTACATGTATTCACATGTTTCAGGACCCTTAAAGGATACTATAAGTGACCACTGGAAAATGATTTGGCAAAATAATACAAGAAAGATAATAATGTTGACAAATCTGGTAGAATGCACAAATGTAAATATAATTCACTATTATTATATCCAGTTAAGTATAGCAAAGTACGAGATATTATACAATTCGCAATCATATGTAAAAAAACAAACAACAGAAAAACAACATAAGAACACTACAGATTTAGCAAGACGAACCCCACCAAATATCTTGGGTAAACTTGGTTACGATGTGGGTATCCTATCTTATTGTATATGAAAATACATAACTAACATCAGCTCTCTTTCTTATGAGTAATAAAGTATTGTTTCCAGCATTTGCTTCCTAATTAAGTTGAAACATTTTGCTGTGAATAAAACTCAACTCAACAGATATCTAAACATCTTAGTTTCCTTTTTTATATAAAAAAACAAAGGAAATGTAAGTTATAATTTCTGCTACTTTTGCCTTTTCGTCACTCAAGTCTCGAATTTATTTTAGTAAAGTTCCGGTTTGCTGCAATTTTGACACCATTATATCAAATTTAAAGAGTTTCATTTTGATAATCCCTGCTAGATGTGAAAATTATGCAATCCATTCAAAGATTAAATTATTTTTTTGTTAATTCAAGTGGATGTTACGATCTCGATAACGATTGAATTATTGGAGCTGCAACAATATCACATCTAATGGTAAACGAATAATGAACATCTGTAAATTTGAATTATTAGTCCATGGTTAATAGATATAAGTGTTGCGATTCTGTTGGCGCTAAGCATAACAAAGGAATAAGACTTAAAGTCATATGAAACTAGTTTCTTGTAATAATAATGTCATTGAAATTATTGAACAAATGCATGCATTAATACTAAACTAAATCCTATACGTACGTTTTTTACATTTATTACGAATCCATTCAGCGACTGTTGATCGCAAACTTATTAACTTTCGAGTTTGCTGTCGAAGATTACCGGTTGGTGACATGGATAAAAAATAAACACACAGCAAGGGGAGCACGTTAAAAATAAGTGAATTGATAGAGCCATTATATTATCCTTTTTTTTATTTTCCATGCATTCACATTTATTAATTTAACATTTTCTTTAACAGTAGTTAAATGATTTGGTGTTATTTAAGAATCAGTTATTACTATGTACCTTCCAGTACAAGTTTGTTTACATTCTTTCATCACGGTTTTGCCCTCGCACTTGCGCTGTGCATTAGCCGAAGTTTTAACGAGAGGTCTCGTATATAAGGTCACTACATACGGAAAAATATCAGCCAATTAGTACGGAAAGACAATAATATCATTACATTTATGAAGATTTTGATACTATAAAGAATTTTCTTTTACTAGAAAGTTAATGTACACTTGTTTTATATTAAATTTAGCCATTCAAGTAAAACTATAGAAAACATAGTTTTTTTTTTTTTTCTTTTTTTTTTTTTTTTAATTTGAAGTTTCATATGACTTGAAGGATTTTCCTGGGCAGAAGATATATTAAAAAATGATTTTCTTAAAAAAAAAACTTTACTCAAATTTCATCGCTACTTATATCTGACGTGTATTGTACATCCTATTATTTAGTTCCGTATATACGATTACAAATTTAAAAAAGGAGTTACAAGGTGATTTTTAAAAGAAATTGAGAAATGACCCTTAATATTGAGTTATCTACAATTGACCTGAATGGATTTCGCCAATTTTCTCTTCCTTAAATAACACTTTGAAGTCAAACTGACGAATTGTATAGGGAATAAACTCATCATAGATATCAGGAATAAAATTTTGTACGCCAAACGCGCAAAAGACTCATAAGTGACACTCGAATCATAAAAGTTAAAATGGCAAAATAAAGTATGAAGTTAAAGAGCACTGAGGACCAAAAATTCCTGTGATACATTATACTAATACATTTGCATTTTACAATGATGGATTTCGACATGTGGTATACGCCTTCTTTTTGTAGAAGTATTATAGTTTCTTCAATTACTTTTTCATTAATTCATATTTTGACTCTTAATGTTTCTATAAAACAAATTAGGGTAGAAGTGTACATTCGGGACCCTCTGATTGGTGACATATCTAAATCGTGTTAGAAATTAAGTATAGAGTTTCAATGGCATATTTGTGCCTAATTAGATCTACAGTCAACTTTAGCTGATCTACAATTTTCACCTAAAATAAACGACAGGAGTTTTGTGATATTCTACCCTTAGGTTGACGTATTTATATTAGTTGCGTTGATATATGATTGTTTCCTCAATATTTGTTGTTTAACATCAGAAAAAATTAGACGCCACACAAGTAATTGTTGTAATGATGCCATTATGTTATGTTATGAAGTTTTCGAGATCCAAACAAACTACTGGCTATCAATGTCAAAATAAGGAGATGCGGTATGGTTGCCAATGTGGCATATATCAATCAGAGTTCTAATGGCGTGGATGTAGGCAACTAAAGATCACCGTACGGCCTTCAGTAATGAGCAAATCCAGTACTGTAATAAGCTATTAAAAGCCCCGATATGATGACTTCATTCAACGATCGTCAGAATTACAATATGAGTAAAACAAGTTATTTCAATCCACAAATTCACCAGACATGCCAGAGAACATCAGAGACTTTCTCATTGACATAATTGATTCCTGTTTTAGAGGAAATGTGAAAGATACTGGCCAGATGGAGGAAAGCCGATCACTTATGGTAATCTTGTTCTCACCCTACTAACAGAAAAGGAACGAGCTGCATATATCACGAGGGAGATAAAAGTTGAAGACGAAACGGTATGACAGACAGAAAACAAATAATTTAGGGATTGAAATTTAAAAATGCGAATCATTAGCACATCTGCTCTAATTTACAATATCATTGCAGTGTCGTCTCGGATTAAAATGAAGACTAACATTTACGGCAGAGATAGAGATAATGTAGATTCGTCTTTGTATAGATATAACATGATAAATACATATTATATATTTATGATACAAATACAATAATCTAATAAAACGTAATATTCCGCATTTACGTGTTTTTGTAAAGTTATTAGAAAAGCGACCAGGATAAGGTATATGCATCAAATGTTTCTTCTAGTTTAATAGAAAATGATAATGAAAAAGTGGGTATATATTTTCTGACAGTCATTTAGTCCGTTAGTAGATCATTTATTTTCGTTTCCTGATGCTTACTCAAATTCCATGTATTGTATAACAACTTTATTTAGATATCTGGTCACATATGTTTACAGGAAGATCCCTATTGATCTTCATGCTACTAAAAAGGTAAAGATCATAGGTTCTGAAACAACGAAATTTGTAGAGAGAAAAAACTCGAATCGATATGTATTCACATACAATAAAAGGATTAAGAGAAAGATCTCCGTTAATTTTAATTGCACTTTATCTACGGTTAATAGATATAAGAAGATGTGGTATGAGTGCCAATGAGACAACTCTCCATCCAAGTCACAATTTGTAAAAGTAAACCACTATAGGTCAAAGTACGGCCTTCAAAACGGAGCCTTGGCTCACACCGAACAGCAAGCTATTAGGGCCCCAGAAATGACTACTGTTAAACCATTCAAACAGGAAAACCAACGGTATAATCTATATAAAAAACGAGAAAGTAGAAACACTTATGAACCAGTTCAACAAACGACAACCACTGCACATCATGTTCCTGACTTAGGACAGGTGCAAACAAATGCAGCGGTTTTAAACGTTTTAATAGGCGTCAACCTTTACCCTACCTGAAACAATAGTGTTACATCACAACATAGAAACACACGCTATAAAATATCAATTGAAATGGCTTAACTCAATTAAAAGACATATTAACAAAAACAAGTGAACATACACTGAACGAATAAATTTGATCTATGACACAATGTAAATACAAAATTAATAAAACAAGGGGGTTAGATGTAAAACAATATCAAAAAGATAACCATTATCTTGGACAAAATGCCGACAAAAATAATGTCAAAAAATACATTCGTATAAGACACCACTACGGTCAAAGATAATTTTTGTGGGGCATATATGTTTTTTAATTGATAAATATGTTAATACAACTGTTGTTATTCTTTAACTTTGTTTCTATTTTGGCGAATTTATAGTTCGAAGTAAGAACTGATATTTTTAGCATGTCCTTATTCTTAATGTATTATACCCATTTACGCATTTGCATATCCCAAGTCAGAAAAATCTAGTCCTCTGTTGTCTGCTGTCATATCTCATACAATTGTGTTAATTTGAATATTTGGTATTGCAAATTGATAACTGATTTAATAGTTTATTCACAACTTTTTTATTTCACATTTCAGTGAATCTCACATAAACCAATCGGCTACATATTAAGGATTTTAACGAAACTCAATGACCGTCTTCGTAATTGAGTCTTTGGGTTTGATATTGGCACAGATAGACGAATTCAAATTCGAATATATGACAAATATGAGGATGTCAGCTTTCCAAAGTCAATTTCCCAATTATCAGCAGTAACACTCTATCAGCCCAATATGTATGGTGTTTATATATCTTAATTAAAGCGTTACGCGTGTGTGTGTTTACATTTTACGGATGTTATATCCAGGGGAGTGTTCATGAGACAAAGACTGTTCCAGGAGAGTTTTAATGAAGAACAACTGAAATTAAAATTACAGATCTTTACGATTACCATAAATGATTAGTTGACTTTACTCAAAAGAGACATGTTTTCGGGGTCTTAGATCATTGAAAGCAAGATGTACTTACTTTAAAAATTATTCCACTGACAAAGAACCAAAATCATTTTTACAAGAAAAAATATATTACATTGTATTGACCTTTATATGTTTGTTATACATAAAAAAAATATTCTCGTGTCTACCATGTCTTGTTTTTTTTTTTCTTTCTTTTGAATATTATAACAGACAAAAGAGAATAGATGTATCATACAGTACCATTTCACAGCCTGGCCTGATCATGGAACACCAGATCCTTTGTACCTTGTATTGTTTCACAAACATGTCATAGCTGATCATTCACCTACTCAACATAATGGACCGCTTCTTGTTCATTGCAGGTATTAAGATTTGAAAATGTAAATTTTGATTTTGTTTCCCGGGTTATGTGTTTGTGTCACAATTCATGACATTCGTCTGTAAATCAAATTCATGTATTAAAAAACAGCACAATATTTAAAATTGCCCATACAGAAAAACTAAAAGTCGTTCAAAAACAAAACGTTAAGGAATATTTAAATAATTTTTACAGGAAAAACATTAAAATTCCAGAAATGTGTATAAAATTAAATTTTATCTTTATTTTATTTTCCCTAACAAATAACGATTAGTCGGTTTTCTTGTCGTATGCATTCAAAGCAGTTTTTTATTATCCTTAAAGAGTACAGTGATGATATCATTTTTATCCAAACAGTGCTGGTATAGGCAGAACTGGAACATATATCGGACTCGATGCTTTATATAAAGAAGGAAGTAGTACTGGGTTTGTAGATGTCGTTAAATTTGTTAAGAAAATGAGGTACAGCAGGATGAACATGGTGCAAACAGCTGTAAGTTTTATTATACGTTTGTCACACTGGAAAGTCAAATCTAGAATTTGAAAAGGGTACCTGCACATATAATAATAGCTATAGCAATAATTGAAAAATTATTAAAGTACATTTTTAAACAATCATTAGGGGGGTTTAGCGCTCACAAACATGTTTAACCCCCCACATTTTGTATGTGCCTTTCCTTAGCCAGGAGCCTGTAGTTCAATGGCTGTCGTTGGTTCATGTCTGTCATATTGGTTTTTCGTAAATTGTTTTGTTATAAACTAGTCCGTTCGTTTTCTCAGTTGTGTTGTTTCATATTTGTCATGTAGGGGTCTTTTATAGCCGACTATACGGTATGGGGTTTTCTCATTGTTGAAGATCATACGGTTGCCTATAATTGCTTACATCCACTTCAATTGAACTTACCACATTTTATTTTTATATGTAAGACGTACTTGATTTTATTAATTTACACCACCCTTTGCATTCCAGTCCAGAAAAGCGCCTCGGACGCTCGAATTTAAAAAGTGTTTTTTTTCATTCCAGAAACTAATACACAATTAAGATTTTCATATTGTAGGAGCAATATGTTTGCCTTCATTTTGCCTTACTTGAGGCTTTCACAATGGAGGACACAAACGTTGGAAAGAAAGAATTTGAAACTATATGGCAGGAAATTTTAGTAGACGAACGTCCTATTAACAGACGACGACTTTATGAAGAGTTTAAGGTACAGTAAAATGTGGAGAAAGCTGTGAATATTTTTTTTTCATATTTACAAACGTGGGTGTGTCCTGGACCTACGTTCAAAAGAACCTTTTCCACGTTTGAATACAACATCGCTTGTTGTAGATTGCAAAATATCTGCATTTCTTTTAACTTTTTTAATTTATTTTATTTTTATTTCAAGCACCACATGTTTCTCTTTCAGTAAGCCTCATCTCGACTCGGAATTTTAAGTTCCGTTTTAAAATGCAAATTGCATACATATGTATATATGAATATTTCAATTTCTAATATTATAATGCATCAAATGTAATATGTTTAAATATACACTTATATAAACAATTAAATCTTATTCTTATATTGTAGATGCTTGACGCTAAGAAATCTGATCAAGATAAAACTCAATATGTTGCTGCTACAAGCCTAGAAAATGTAAAAAAGAACAGAAATAAGAGTATTATTCCTAGTAAGCTGCCAATTTTGATTGATATAATAACTGTTTTTTTTTAATTTTACAATTCGATTTATTACTGTTTTCACGGTCGCAATTTGAAGTTTCTGAATAAAAGTATTTAAAGTAAATGTTCCTTCAGTTCAGAGTTAATCTTAATTGATATTCCTGGTGTTGATAAGTATAATTTCTCACGTTTCGCTAGTATAGGGAGAAATTATTGTATGTACGGTACTAGCGTATAGTTTTATAAGTTTACGTCACTAGGTATAAGACACGTGACTAATTTTATAGCGGGAAATTTTTTCCCTGAGACTATTACTTTCTAGCCCGCCGCAGACAGGGCAACATTGAAAATGGACACCGGGATATCTAGTTCACTTAAAGACGCCATATCTTCGGAAGTTAAAAATGCAGTTTCGAACATTCAACAAGATATATTGAATAGCATTTCCTCTATAATGGATTCAAGGTTATCGTCTTTCCAATCTAACATCAGACAATCTCAACAGGACATTTCACAGTCTCAGATGTACAAAATCGAGCAGACCTTTACTGATAATTACTCATTCAAGAGAAAAGGCAACGAGAACCAGTTTAAACACGAGTCTAAGGTACTATCTAAGCTGAAAGAAGCAGACGTTAATTTAGAAGGACCAGAATTGAGTGTTGATTCCGTACAAGCAGCCAAAGCCAAGATAGTAGAAGGTATGGAATTAGTAAAAGAAAGACAGAAACTAATTAAAATGGCAGATTCCTCGGAACTCGGGTGGAAGGTTGTAGGCGAATACGTGACAAATCCTATCGCCGACGATTCGGAAGATGAGAGGAAAATAATCAGGGCACAAAACAGAGCAGAAAGAAAACAGAAAGCAGAGAAATCCAAGAAACAAATTACAAGAAAAACACCATACACGAGAGAAAAGGCAGAGACTACCAATTCTTCTTGGAAACCTGGCAGGTGCTTCAATTGTGGAAGAAGAGGCCACTGGACCGACGATTGTCCGGATAAGAAGAAGATAAGTACTTTTAAAACTTTATATAATTTGCCAATCTTGACTAATAGTATATGTTCAAATTTAAATGATACTGAACAGAGTTCAATAGAAACTGATGGTCACATGACATTTTATTGCAAAGACGAGGTTAATAATAAGGTCAGTTTTAAATCGCCGTTAAATGTTACGGTTGACCAGCCTACAGGTATTCTCTCACCTGTAGGTCAGTTAAAATCTAAGTTACCTGAATGGAAATCAATTACAAGCAATACACATATTTTAGATGTTATTGAAAACGGATATAAGATACCTTTTAAGACAGAACCAAGATCAGAACTGTTGAAGAATAACAGATCTTCACTTGATAATCCAAAATTTGTAAAAGAGGAGATAAGAAAATTAATAGAGAAGAGATGCATTTCAGAAGTAAAAGAAAGGCCTTTTGTTGTAAACCCTCTTACAGTTGCTTACAATAAGAACAAACCGAGACTGGTTTTAGATTGTCGACATTTGAATTCACATCTCTTTAAATTTAGATTTAAGTACGAAGATGCAGAAAACGCACGAGACCTTTTTAAAAAGGGTGATTTTCTATTTAGCTACGATTTGAAATCCGCATATCATCATATTGAGATCACAGAAATACACAGATCTTTTCTTGGTTTTGCATTTAATTTTGACGGTGTTATGCGATACTTTGTTTTTAATGTGTTGCCATTTGGCATCGCAACAGCTGGGTATATATTTACCAAAGTGCTAAGAGAAGTTGTCAAACACATGAGAACAGAAGGTAAACGTGTCATCATGTTTTTAGATGACGGTCTCGGAGGAGACAAAGATTTTAAAAATAGTATGAATAGTAGTTTTGAAGTTAAAAATACACTCGAAAGATTGGGATTTTTAATAGCCCATGAGAAATGTCATTGGTTACCAAGTCAGAGTATGGATTGGTTGGGTTACACATGGGATACCAGAATAGGTAGAGTTTTTATCAAGGAGGAGAGAATTGAGAAAGCCGAAAATAGTATTCGCAAATTATGCAAAGAAATTACAAACGGTAGATTGCTATTCAGTGCTAGATTTTTAGCTAGTATTTTAGGCCAAATAATTTCCATGATGATTGTTATCGGTGACAAGGTGAGATTGCACACCAGATACTTGTATGAGTGTATCATGGGACGAGCAAGTTGGGATGCTCCTGTAAAGATGAATCCAGATGCTCTCACAGAAATTTTATTCTGGGATAGCTCGCTCAGAAAATTAAATGAGCATGGTGTTGACATTTGCAGAGTTGATCATGATTTTGTGTCAGATTTTGACATTTTTTGTGACGCCTCGGATGTAGGCTTCGGTGGTTTTTTATCCACCCAGTGTAGCGTTGTTAATTGTGTTGACAACGGTGAAATGTCAGGTAATTGGACAAGTGATGAAAAGTTGCAAAGTTCAACATGGCGCGAATTAGAATGCGCCAGACGGGTATTATGCACTTATGAAAGACAATTTAGCTTAGATAACAAGTCGGTTAACATCAACTCAGACAATAAAAACGTTCCACATATACTAAAGGTCGGCAGCAAGAAAAACATATTACAAAACATAGCAGTAGATATTCACAATATTTGTTCAGATAAGAACATCACTTTAAATTCTAGATGGCTACCCAGGGCAGACAATCAATACGCAGACAAATTGAGCAGAAACACTGATAACGATGATTGGGGTATTCACGGCGAATTGTTTAAATATTTAAATGGTAAATGGGGACCATATAGTATTGACAGGTTCGCTACGCATTATAATACACAATGCACACGTTTCAACTCAAAACATTGGTGCCCAGGTTCAGAAAGTATAGACGCATTCTCTCAAAATTGGGGTAACGACACAAACTGGTTAGTCCCACCACCGTCTCTTGTTCCTATGGTTTTACAAAAAATACAGCATGACAAAGCTTCATGTACCTTAGTTATTCCGGAATGGAAATCGGCCCCTTTTTGGCCGCTGATTTACACATCAAAAGGTAGAGCACATTTTATACAAGACATAGAATATCTGTCGGGAAAAAGGGTGATAGTTAAAGGAGCAGGCAAAAACGGAGTGTTCGTAAAATTGCCAATGAAATTTAGAATGCTAGCTTTGAAAATAGATTTTTGATAATACAATTGTTATTTGCAGGAGTGAACCTTAGACGAAACGTTGAAGCTGCTATAGTAGAGAGTGGCGTTTCAGAGAACAGTAAAATGTACAACTTAGCTGGAAAGATGACTACATTCCTTGTTGATTCGAGAAGTGAGAATACCTGTAAAAAGTACTATTCAAGTTTCAATAGATGGAAGAAATTCGCAATCGAAAACTGTTTAAATGAATTGCCTGCCGAGCCTGTTCATATAGCACTTTACATTACAAAATTAATAGATGAACAATGTTCTCCGAGTGTTGTTAATTCAGCTGTATATTCAATCAAATGGGCCCATGATCTTAACGGTTTTAATGATCCGACAGAAAATTCATTTGTAAAATACCTTTTAGAATCCGCTAAAAGACGTAATGGTAGGCCTGTAAACAAAAAAGATCCAGTTAACAATGACATGTTGATTGATTTATGCTCTATGTACACAGATAGTTCAGATTTACTTATAGTTAGGGATCTCACTATGATTTTGTTGTCTTATTCAGGTTTTCTCAGGTTCGATGAGATAAGTAAATTAAGATGCAAAGATGTTAGCATTTTCGAAGATCATTTAAAACTTTTGATTTCTAATAGCAAAACCGATCAATACAGACAAGGGAATGAAATTCTTATTTCTAAAGGTATCACTATCGCTTGTCCAGTTAACATGTATTTACGATATTTGTCTTTAGCTGGTTTAGACGCACAATCTGAACACTTCATATTCAAACCTGTTTTTAGATCCAAAGGTGTAGCCAAACTTATATATAAGAATAAACCTATTAGCTATACTGCAGCTAAGGAAAACATTGTAAAGAGACTTAAGCTGGTAGCCCCAAGTTTAAATCTTGGTCTTCATTCCTTACGATCGGGTGGTGCAACTGCAGCTGCTAAGTCTAATGTAAATGAAAGATGCATAAAGCGACATGGGAGGTGGAAAACAGATTTTGTTAAAGATGGTTATATCGAAGATACTTTAGAAAAGAGAATTTCAGTTTCACAAAAATTGGGTCTTTGATATCATTTTACTACACTCTAACCCTTTCTTTGGTATTTCTATGCTTGCTGGGCTATCGGCAACACTATATATTGTATTAATTCATGCCTTCATACTAGAATAATAGATATGAGCGTATAAGATATACGTATAATTTCTCACGTTTCGCTAGTATAGGGAGAAATTATTGTATGTACGGTACTAGCGTATAGTTTTATAAGTTTACGTCACTAGGTATAAGACACGTGACTAATTTTATAGCGGGAAATTTTTTCCCTGAGACTATTACTTTCTAGCCCGCCGCAGACAGGGCAACATTGAAAATGGACACCGGGATATCTAGTTCACTTAAAGACGCCATATCTTCGGAAGTTAAAAATGCAGTTTCGAACATTCAACAAGATATATTGAATAGCATTTCCTCTATAATGGATTCAAGGTTATCGTCTTTCCAATCTAACATCAGACAATCTCAACAGGACATTTCACAGTCTCAGATGTACAAAATCGAGCAGACCTTTACTGATAATTACTCATTCAAGAGAAAAGGCAACGAGAACCAGTTTAAACACGAGTCTAAGGTACTATCTAAGCTGAAAGAAGCAGACGTTAATTTAGAAGGACCAGAATTGAGTGTTGATTCCGTACAAGCAGCCAAAGCCAAGATAGTAGAAGGTATGGAATTAGTAAAAGAAAGACAGAAACTAATTAAAATGGCAGATTCCTCGGAACTCGGGTGGAAGGTTGTAGGCGAATACGTGACAAATCCTATCGCCGACGATTCGGAAGATGAGAGGAAAATAATCAGGGCACAAAACAGAGCAGAAAGAAAACAGAAAGCAGAGAAATC